CCCCCAACCCCACCCACCAACCTCAACCCCGGTACATGTCAGGTGCGCGAGGGCGCGCTGCTGTGCCGCATCCCCAAGGCGGCGGTGCTGTCGCCGCGCACCACGGGGATAGCGGCGCTACTGGAAGAGGAGCGGATCGGACACGGCCTGGTGGGCCTGGGGATATCATACATTGTATGCAAGAGTATACTACCGTGTCAGTAATATGTGGGAATGCAGCTCGCAAGGTGAACACGTTTGAAGTGGTTGTGAAAAAGCAGCATGTTGAGGTGGCGGCCGGGCACCCCGCGCCCGGGTGTCTTTGGGCACGGGGCGCCGGGGCGCGGCGCGCCGACGGCCGCTGTCTGCGTCCCGCGTGCAGGCGCTGACGATCGCCGCCATGTGGGAGGCCGGAATCGGGGAGCGCTCGAAATGGTGAGGGGGTGGTTTGGCAGCGCTCAGAGTCGTGAGGGGTGTAGGGTGTGTGGGAGAGGGGGGCGGCAGCGATGCGTCGCGTCCCCAGCCTGCGCCTGAATCAAAGCGAAGCATCACGCATCCACCAGACTGACGCGTGCACGGCCCCCCTCCTTTCCAAGCGATCCCAAATGGGCGCAGGGGCGCGCCTCCGCGCATGGACGCACCCCGCCAGCGCAACCCCTCCACACTGAACCCCAGCAACCTCCGTTCCACCACACTGTTGACCCCCTTGACCCCCCTCCCCTCGCACCCCCCTTGCTCGACTCCACCACCCCGTCACAAGGCACGGCTACTTCCAGAGCCTTCCCCCGCGCGAGTACCTGCCCATATTCTGGTCAAACGATGAGCTGGCGCTGTTGCAGGGCACCGAGCTTGAGGGCGCAACTGACGAAGACAGGTGAGACACACACCAGGACCCTTTTGACAAAATTTTTGGGTTGGCTGGACCCTTTGCAATTCATTTCGTTCTTGGTTTTCCCGTGCAGCTGCGGCCCCTGGCCGGCCGGCCTGCGGTCCCATCCTCAGCAGGCGGCCACGCGGCGGGTGGGAAAGCAGGGGAGGGAGCGGGCTGCCACAATCGCGGCGCCGCCGCACCGGCTCGCAGCGCCACCCGGGTCCTCTGCTCGCCCCCCTCTACCCTGAGGCTACCCCTTCCCCCACCCGACCGGCTTGCTGGTGCCTAGCCATTTTTGAAGTTGTAGGCGGTTGCTGACCTTGTCATGCGCCCTGATCCTGACCCGATGGATCCTGCGTGTCGGCTTGCTAACAGAGCGCCGCGGTGACTGGCATGCTGACGTCACCGCATGACAGGGATGACACCGAGCATGACTACGAGACCGTCGTGGCGCCCCTCATGGCCCGCTACCCAAAGGTCTTCCGCCCCGGGGCCTATGGGCTGGGCAGCTTCAGGGCGGCTGCATCGTGGGTCGCCAGCCGCGCCTTTTATGTTGACTCTTTGCACGGTGCGGCTGGCGGGGCGCGCTGCAGGGGACGCGGTAGAGGCAGGTGCTAGCCTGTGGCGCTGCCCGCCGAGGGAAGCTGGTGTGGGCCGAACCCATCATGTTGCTGCCACCGTGGCGCAATACCCACAGTGATGTGAATGCGCATGCAATCCGCGCTACGTTATTTGTCATGCACACACACAAATGCAACTGTCGTGCACCCACTCAGCACGCATGTCCACCTGCACACATCATACACACACACACACACAACACACGCACATGAATCACGCACATGAAATGCACAAGCACATGCATACGTTCGCACTATACACCTATATACACACACATGCACATGCACATACACAAACGCCCATCTGCAGGCGAGGGCCTGGTGCCCCTGGCAGATGCCTTCAACCACAAGGCCTCGGTGGTGGCGCTGGCAGAGGGGTACGAGGTGGGGGAGGTGCTCGACAGGTCAGCAGGGAGGCGCGGCGGCAGCGGCGACGGCAGCGGCGACGGCCGGGACGGCGGCAGCGACGGCGGCAGCGGCGACGGCAGCGACGACGGCAGCGGAAGCGGCAGTGAAGGCAGCAGCGAAGGCGGCAGCGAAGACGGCAGCGGCGACGGCAGCGGCACGGAAGACGAGGAGCAGGAGGAGGAGGAGGACGAGGAGGAGGACGAGGAGGAGGACGAGGAGGAGGAGGAGGAGGAGGGCAACGGCGGCGCTGTCAACGGCGCGGCCGACGCGGGCGCACACCCGGCGTGCGGCGGGCAGGAGTTTGTGGGCGTCGGCGGCGCCCCCCGCTCCGGCAGGCCCGTCATCCTCAGCTCGTCTGGAGGTGGGTTGACGCGCGGGTCCCCACGGCAGCTAATACAGTGGGCAGCAGGCCTTTGGCGTGGCGGCTGCAATGCCGCGCTGCCTGATACAGCTCACAACTATTGGCGACCTGCGAGCCGGCACTGCCGGGCTTGATGTGCATGCAGCTGTTGAGGACGACAGCCTGGGTTTTGGTGGGCTTGGCCCGCCTGCCTTCGAGCACAAGCAGAATGTTGCGTTGCGGCGTGCGACCCACTTGGAGCCGCGGCAGCAAGCCATGCCAGCTTTCTGCCTTCTTTCGACTCCTCTGTTTCAAAATCTCCATACACTCAGCCCCTCCGCTCTCGCTGCTTGCTCGGCGCCCCTCATGCTCACTGCCGCCTGTTTGCCCACCAACTCGTCATGATGCAAATTTCAGCGACGGAGTGGGAGAGGGACGGGCTGAACCTGCGGCTCGAGATAGGGATCTGCAGCGTCGACGACGACGAGGTTGGGGGCCACGAGGCTCAGATCGCCGGCGACGCCAACAATCTCAAGCCGAGTGGCGAGCGGCAAGAGCAGCAGCAGCAGCAGAAGCAGCAGCAACAGCAGCAGCAGCAGAGGGGCAGTAGGAGTGGGGACGATGGTCGCCCCGCAAAACGACGGCGGGGCGGCGGAGCGGAGCGGGAGGAGGATGGAGGTGATGCGCTTGGCGACCTGGAGGCGGCGCCTGCATCAGGCCGGCTGGACATTGTTGCCGCAAGCGACGTGGCCGCGGGGCATGAGGCGAGAGCGCGGCGCCGGGCGCGCATGCACGCTCTTGCGCGGCCCTGGGAACGACCAAGCACACTGCTACTGTTGCCTGGGGCATACGCAGAGGCGGGCTGCATACCCACTGGCGCGGCGCAGCCCTCCCTGTTTCGTGCTTCTCGTCGTCTAGGCCCTGCAGCCGTGATGTCACCTCTTCACTCCTTGTCCTCCCCCAACCC